CAGGACCGATTTTGAGAATTTGGCTCCCTATAAGATGCTAGAGGCATTTTGTAGTACAAGTGGTAACTTGGTGTATTTTACCTACCGGGTATTTTAGGTTTGCTGAATCCGATAAAGGTGGATACCAAATTGAAAAACTTGATCTTGACCATTAAAATGGCCATTTAAAATGACCACTAAAATGGCCGCCAAATTTCTTTATCATAATATGATATAGCAAATAAAACTTTTAAGGAATGGAAAAGCCTGAAATTTGTCACAAAGCATGTTCAGGTAAAAACAAATTAGACACCAAAACAGAATTAAAACAAAACAATCCAATATTGCCGAAAAATCCAAGATGGCGAACATTTTTTTAGGCTAATATTAGTAATATAGAAGATTATTAAAGAATATTAAAGATAGAACTGAAAATTTTAAGGCATTTACACAGCGAACACTACACTCTTCCCTGCCCTAGATATAGAGCTTTCATGTATTTTATCTGACACTCTATGCAAGCACATAGTGTGGCTTCTCAGATTCCTATTAAAGGCACCTTTATCTGATTACTCTTGGGTGTTGGTGTTCGTTTACCTGTTTATCGGTCGTCGGTCGTCGTCTATGCTCTTCTGTTATTGGTCCTCATTGCAGTTCTCTTGTTGTGAGTTCTTCTATTATTGGTCGTGATCTTCGTTCTTCTGTTATCGGTCCTCGTTTCTGTTGTCCTGTTATCGGTCCCTGTCCTGTTCTGTCATCGGCTCTTGTCTTCGTTCTTCTCCGTTCTTCTGTCATCGGTTCTCGTCTCTTTTCTTCTGGTCCTGGTCTCCGTTTTCTTGTTGTCAATTCTTCTGTCATTGGTTCCTGTCTCTGTTATCGATTCTCGTCCCTTTTTTTCTGTTATCAATCCTCGTCTCCATTGTCAGTTCTGTTATCGGTCCCTGACTCTGTTCTTCTGTTATCGGTCTTTGTCTCTGTTTGTTTGTTGTCAGTTCTTCTACTGTTATCGGTCCCTGTCTCTGTTCTTCTGTTATCGGTCGACGTCTCTGTTTGTTTGTTGTCAGTTCTTCTGTTATCGGTCCCTGTCTCTTGTTCTTCTGTTATCGGTGCTCGTCTCTCAGTTCTTGTACCCTTTCTTCCTTCTGTTATTAGTCGTCGTCTTCGGTCTTGTAATTTTGGTATGTGTTTCCTGATCCGTTAAGGTCTTTTCTTGTTGTATCTATCGTTGCCGTCATTCTGTGTTGATGTCCTGGTTTTGTCAGTCTTGTAGTCACTTATTCGTTCAGTGGAGTAGTGGGGGATCGAACTCTTGACCCCTTGATTTGAAGGGAGACAGTGTTACCACTGCACCATAGCGCCCGCTCTGAATAATAACCATTTTTGAAAGCCCTTTATACATTTAATACTATTTCAATGGCTAACAAAGGGTGTATTACAATTATATTTTAACACGTCTACTATGTAGCCAACCCACGTGACTTTTATATATGGTCAAAGAAAATATTACTCGATTTATTACAAGTTATATTTTTATAGATAACTTTGCTGTTACCTTAAGATATCCTGGAAATTTATTGGAGGGTACCCGGAATTCTAATATATATCAAATGATGTGATAATCTTCTTTTAGAATTTTCTCAAAACCGTGACTGAATTCTAAAATTTTCGAGAGCTGCCACAGTAAAGCAAGCACACGTAGCAATCTGCTCTGTTTTCAGACATTTTATGACTTGATGAAAATATGGCGTGGTTATTAGTGTTGTTGTTGTTTTTTCACTTTAATTTTAAATTTCAAAGTAAATCGCCACTTATTTTTAAACAAGAGGTAAACATTTGTTGTTTTCTGTATTTTTGTTAAGAATGTGCAGTATATATTTTAATACACTTTTTGTGTTGTATTTATGGCATTGAAATCACATTTTTTGACATTTCAAAATATTTTTTTTTAATATTAATTTTAAACCATAAATACCATAATAAGGGCAAAATATATGAAAACAAAATGAACAAATTAAAAAAAATCATAGCTACAAATAATGTTGAAATTACGGAACATCTGAAGTGACATTTTCCGCACTTTCTCACGAAACTGAATTCGTTTTTACGAGATAATAATTCCCAATTAGAAATATTATTTCGTTTTAAGGAAATATAAAATCTAAATTACGAAATATTGATTCGTTATTACGAAATATTATTCGTAATTACGAAATATTAATTTGTTATTGCGAAATATTTATTCTTTGGTAATATTTATAAAGACGGATTTAAAGCTAGGTTTATTGTTAAATTTAAGTCAAGTAAACAAAATATAAATTTAAAGTGATTTTTTTCAATCTAAGTCATATACCTTAATGCGCTTGTAAACAGTACTGTATATAACAATCTCATTAAAATCTGATTATATTGAATAATCATTTGATTTTGACAAGAATAATAAATTGAGACTTGATGGTATACGGTATTTTTTCATATATGTAAAAATTGTTTGAAAACCATTTTTATCGTTGTAATAGATGTCCCATTCGTGTTTAAATATTAAAATAGTTTTGGTAGAGTGTTTGCAGGGGCGTATCACGTTGGGGGGCAGGATCTGACCCCCAAGCGTCTGTGGATTGATGTAGCTTGAATAGCGTAATTGGCCAGGACAAAAATAAAGTATAACTAGAACTATCACTAAATGTGATTAATACCCCCACAAGACTGCTTCGGAAATGAGGATGTTACTAGTAACAGAATACCTTGAAAAAGAATTGAAATATAGAGTGATGGTTGTGGGCAATTAAAGATAGTTGTGGTTCTTGTATGTTGCATTTCCTTTCAATGTGGTTGGCCATTGATGAAGTTTTATTGAATTACTCTGTAATAAGTCCAGAAGACAAGGAAAAGAAACAAAGGGCAATAACTCTATAAATACTGAAGATGAAGTTATCGTTCTTGTGCACTGCACTTCCTCTTATTGTGCTTGACCATTGTATGAAGTTGTTTTGAATTCCAACCAGTACGTTTTAAGTTATGCTCTGGACAAGGAAAAGTATTAAAGGGCAGTAACTCTGTATTTTGTCAAAATGGAGTTATGGCTCTTGTGCACTGCACTTCCTTTTAATGTCCTTGACAACTGTATGAAGTTGTATTGAATTCCAAACAGTAGTTTTCAAATTATGCTCTGGACAAGGAAAAGTAACAAAGTGCAATAACTCTGTAATTAATCAAGATGGAGTTATGGTTCTTGTGCACTGCACTTCCTCTCAATGTGCTTGACCATTGTATGAAGTTATATTGAATTCCAACCATTAGTCTTCAAGTTATGCTCCGGACAAAAGAAAGCAATGGAAAAGTAACAAAGGGCAATAACTCTGTAATTAGTCAAGATGGAGTAATAGTTCTTGTGCACTGCACTTCCCCTTATTATGTTTGACAATTGTGTGAAGTTGTTTTGAATTCCATCCAGTAGTTTTCAAGTTATTCCCCGGACAAGGAAAAGTAACAAAGGGCAATAACTCTGTAATTAGTCAAGCTAGAGTTATGGTTCTATTGCACTGCACTTTCTCTCAATGTGCTTGACCATTGTATGTAGTTATATTGAATTCCAACCATTAGTCTTCAAGTTATGGTCCGGACAAAAGAAAGCAATGGAAAAGTAACAAAGGGCAATAACTTTGTAATTACTTTAGATAGAGTTATGGTTCTTGTGCACTGCACTTCCCCTTATTGTGTGTTTGACAATGGTATGAAGTTGTTTTGAATTCCAACCAGTAGTTTTCAAGTTATGCCCCGGACAAGGAAAAGTAACAAAGGGCAATAACTCTGTAATTAGTCAAGAAAGAGTTATGGTTCTTGTGCACTGCATTTCCTCTCAATGTGCTTGACCATTGTGTGTAGTTATATTGAATTCCAACCATAAGTCTTCAAGTTATGGTCCGGACAAAAGAAAGCAATGGAAAAGTAACAAAGGGCAATAACTCTGTAATTACTTTAGATAGAGTAATGGTTCTTGTGCACTGCACTTCCCCTTATTGTGTTTGACAATTGTATGAAGTTGTTTTGAATTCCAACCAGTAGTTTTCAAGTTATGCCCCAGGCAAGGAAAAGTAACAAAGGGCAATAACTCTGTAATTAGTCAAGATAGAGTTATGGTTCTTGTGCACTGCACTTCCTCTCAATGTACTTGACCATTGTGTGTAGTTATATTGAATTCCAACCATTAGTCTTCAAGTTATGCTCCGGACAAGGAAAATGCAACGGACGTCTGGACCGACCGACCGACCGCCCGACCAACCGACCACCAATGACTCCTATATACCCCCCCAAACTTCGTTTTTGGGGGTATAATAATTTACAAAGGGCAATAACTCTAAAATAATGGAGTACAAAGTGCTGGTTTTTATGCACTGCACTTCTTCTCAATAAGATCTATCATCCTATGAAGTTTCATGTCCATAGCTTTTATAGTTTAGGAGAAATGGCTTGGACAAGAATGAAATATGAAAATTAATAAATGGCAATAACTCCAAATCTAAGGAGTGTAGAGTACCAGTTTTTGTGCACTTCTTCTCAATATGATCTATCATCCTATGAAGGTTCAAGTAAAAAACCTTTATAGTTTAAGAGAAATGGCTTGGACAAAAATAAAGTAAAAAAATTAACAAAGGGCAATAACTCAAAAATCATCAACCGGATTATAAACATTGCACTGTATTTCAATGACATCTATCATCCCATGAAATTTCAGGTCCATAGTTTTTATAGTTTAGGAGAAATGGCCCGAACAAAAATAAAGTATAAAAATTAACAAAGGGCAATAATTAAAAAAATAATTAGCGCAGAATAATGATTCTTGTGCACTGCACTTCAGGTCATTAAAAGAAGTATGCATACCAAGTTTGGAGTCAATCCGCCTTATAGTGACTGAGTTTTGCTCTGCTGACAAAAGTACACAATAAATTAGTTTAATTTTAACTTAATCTTACTTCAGTCATGTATTTCAGACATACATGCCTATTTTGTTTAATATTACCTACCTTTCATATAGCAGGCAGGTCCTGGGTTAGCCCCAGCAGAATCTGGCCCTACCACAAACATCCCTGAACGAAAAAACAACATGGAACCTCCACCTGCAGCTACTGTGTTAATATCCAACTGAAGTATATTTATGTTTAAACATATAAAAGACCTGACAAACAAGTGTAAGGAATTTACTTATTAAGATTTTGTAAATAAACAAGGAGACCAAGATGGCCCTAGATCGCTCACCTGACCCATCAAACTGATCTGAGCAATTTCTTAAACAAGCATCCTAACCAAGTTTGACGACAATTGTGTCAAAAATGAGACCTCTAGAGTGTTAACAAGGTTTTTCCATATTTGGGCAGTGTGACCTAGTTTTTTACCCAAAGTGACCCATATTCGATCTTGCCCTAGAAATCATCAAAACAAACTTGCAGACCAATTTTCAGGATATTTGGATCAAAACAGTAGCCACTAGAGAGTTAACAAGATTTTTCTATTTTTAGTTCCAATGACCTAGTTTTTCATCAGATATGATCCATGTTCTAACTCCTCCAAGCAATTTACTAGAAAAGCATATTGACCAAGTTTGATGAAAATTGGGTCAAAAATGTGACCATTAGTGTAAACTAGGTTTTTTCCATGACCTAGGAATCATTAAAACAAACATTCAGGCCAATTTCCAGGATATTTGGATCAAAACTGCACCGACTAGTGTTAACAAGATTTTTCTATTTTTAACTCCAGTGACCAGTTTTTCATCAGAGATGAACCACATTTAAACTAAACCTAGAAATCATCAAAACAACCTTCCTGATCAATATCCAGGATATTTGGATCAAAACTGCAGCCACTAGAGTGTTAACAAGACTTTTCTATTTTTAGATACTGTGATCTAGTTTTTAACCAGAGAGCTTATCCTAGCAATCATCAAAACAACCTTCCTGTCTAATTTCCAGAATATTTGGATCAAAACTGCAGCCACTAGATTGTTAACAAGATTTCTCTATTTTTAGCTCCTGTGACCTAGTTTTTGACTGGAATTTACCCATATTCGAACTTGACCTAGAAATCATCAAAACAACTTTCCTGATTAATTTCCAGAATATTTGGATCAAAACTGCAGCCACTAGAATGCTAACATGGTTTTTGTATTTTTAGCTCCTGTAACCTAAGTTTTTGACCCGAGATGACCCATATTCGAAGCTGACCTGTATTTCATTGAGACGAAAATTCTGATAAAGTTTGATTATGATCCAATCAAACTGTGACTGCTAGAGTGTTAACAACCCAAATGTTGACAACACATAATGCCGGACATAGCCCCATCAATATACCT